AAAAAAAAAAAAAAAAAAAAAAACAAAAAAAAAAAAACATCAAAACCAAAACAAAATAAAAAGAAAAGCAGTAAGAGACATTTTAAGGAAAGAAGAAAAAAATTGTTTTAAATCCTATAATGTTAGACTAAAAGAGAACTAGAAAGGGAGCAAAAAGAGTAAGAAAAGAAGTATAAATATAATTAAGGGGGAAATAAGAGAAAAAGTTAGTAGTAAAAACTAATCTGTCTTTTAACTCCTTTTCTTGCTTCCCTATAATGTCCAGCACCTTCATGATTATGTTGAATCTGAGCAGAGAAGACACAAATTCCTGTCTCATTCCCAACCCCAAGAGGAAGACATCCCATCCAGGCTTTTAGATTAAGTATCTGCCCACTTACGGGATTACACAGATATGAGTATTTGATTTTATCAAATTGTTCTGTCAGGTCATTTACGATGGCTCAGTGAGTAAGGTGCTCACTGCTGGGCCTTACAACCTCATCTGATTCTTGAAACACACATGGTAAGAAGGGGACCAACTCCGTAGATCAGTGTTTCCTACGGTCTAGAGAATGATCTAAGATATTCTCAGTTTTAGTTTTGAATAAGTTTATTAAATATACAGTATGATACATTCAATATATTTTGTAATGTTCAGTATTGAGGCCTGCTGGGACTGGGATTTGTTTGTGGTAAAATGTTTGATTCATACAAAACAGTTTTAGATTACAAAATAATCTTTGTTTTCTAAGTCATTAGAACACACGAACTTTCCTTTAAGCCCTGTTTCTGCTTCATCTCATACACTCGGCATGCAGATATTTTTATTTGACTCAGATGAAAATACATCTGACATTTCTTATCATTCTTGTTTGTCCCAAGGACTTTTAGAAATATGGAATTAATTAGTTAGCTGATGAGAAATATTTTCAGATGTCTCAAATTTCCTTCTATTGTTGATTTCTATTTTAATATCATGTAGCCAAAGAATATACTTTATATGTTTTAGTTCTTTAAATTTACTGATTGTTTGTGTGTGGTTGGCTTTTAAATGGCTCAGTGGGCAGAGAAACCTGTCTCTAAGCCTGAGGACCTGAGCTCCGTCCCTGGGACCCACAGGGTTGAAGAAGACTCGTGAGAGCTGTCTCCTGACCTCCACCTATGCACTGTGGTACACACACCAACACCCCGCTTCCCCATACAAATAAAGAGAGAGAACTGTTTGTCTGTGGCCTACCACGTGGTCTATTTTAAAGAATGCTTCCCACGTGCTCAAAATGATTTGTGCTCTGCTACTGTGACAATGTTACAGGTTGGCTAATTATGGTTTTTTAAAAAGATGTCAGTAAAAATGAATAAATTATCATTTCATGCTTCATCATAGATGAAGCTCAAAAAAAAAAGCCATTATGCCGATTCAGAAACCCAGAAGTGATAATGTCATACATACACTTTAGTCTCAGCATTTGGGAGGCAGAGGGAGATGGATCTCTAGCAGTTTGAGACTAGTCTGATTGACAGTGAGCTCCCAACCTGGGCTGCCACACAGTGAGACCCTGACAAACAGAACTAAATGGGGAGGGGGCATTTACCAAAACATATTTAGAAAAACCAAGTTAAAAAAGAAAAACAAGCAAATTTGTTGTTGCCTGAGCTAAGGTTTGGGATGGGTTCTTTAATGATCCTACTAAGTCAAGTCCCTAAAAATTATCACTGAATAGTATTCTTAAATGTATATGGTGGAACCAGGCATAGTGGTATATGCCTTTAATCCCAGCACTCAGGAAGCAGAAGCAGGTGGATCTCCAAGTTCTAGGTCAGTCTGGTTTATAGACCAAGTTCCAGGACAGACAGGGCTACACACAAAAATCTTTTCTTAAAAAACGAAAACAAAATTCTGTAAAATGTGAATGAGAATTGCCCATATACATGAATATATTTGAATATTTGGTTCCCAGTTGGTGGACTGTCTAGGAAAGATAAGGAAGTGTGGCCTTGTTGGAGAAGGTGTAGGAGTGCTGGGTTTGAGGTTTCAAAAGCCCACACCAAGCACAGTCTCACTTGTCTGTCTGTCTCCTGACTGCAGATCAGGATGGAAACTATCAGCTACTGCTCCAGCACTACGTCTGCCTTCCTGCCACCACAGTTCCCCCATGATGACCATGGACTAACTCTGAATCTGTAAGCAAGCCCATCAAATGCTCCCTTCTATACGCCGTGTTTGTCATGGTGTCTCTGCACAGGCGCAGCAGGAGAACAGCACTAAGACAAAGGGTGAAACAGAGGTAGACGAAATGTCACATGGTTCCAGGACAAATAGTGGGATTTAGTTTGTTAACTCAGGTTACAACTTGGTGACAGGTTCCTTTACCTGATGATCCAGTCTTTCCAGTTCTAAGATGTAACTCTTATTAATTTAAAAGGATATTTACAAATCCAATGTATGTAAATGCTAACTAAAATTTTATCATTATACTTAGAAATAGTCATAACATTACTTTAAAAATCAGCAATCAATATGTAGCTCTCTGACCTCATCAGAGCTTCTCTGTGCAGTGGACGGTGGAAGAAACTCACAAGTGGTCAAATGCAGACAAGTACCCGAGGAGTGGCTCAGCCATAAATGGGACAGGTATATCACCCCCATCCCCAAGGCTCAGGGACCATCTTGGAAGGGGAGGCAGAGATGGGGAAGGACTGGATGAAAACAGTGTTTCTGACTGCCGTACTCCAGAACTCATAGCAGCTGTGGCTGCTTAGACAAGATCTGAACAAGCCACCCTAGCACGAGATGGAAAAAAGTGTGTTGCACAAGTTCTAACTGACCTTAATAATAAAAACCTGGAATCAGATATCGGGTAAATGCTGAAAGACCAGACAGACAAAGGAGCAAGCCAGACCCAACTCTTTCCTTGCTAACTCCTCTCTCCTCCCAACCATATCACTTCCTGTCTGTCTGTACAGACCTCCAGACCTCTATGTTTAACTAGTGGGTAGCTCTGCCCTCTGATCGTCAGGAAAGCTTTATTTGTTAGAGTACAAACGAGATATCACCACAAATGGGTTCATGAATTCCTACCTGTAACTGAGGAGCCATGTACAGTTGATGACTTCTACAGCAGGAAGAGACAGTTAAGAGTGTGGCTCTTGGTGGGTAGACCACACTTCAATGGATGGCGCCCATACCCAGAAATAAAAAAATCTCAATGGACGGGTTAATAAAAAAGGGGTGGGTACACTGCTGGGTTGCGGGAAGGGTCTGTGTGTGGTGGATCTAGGAGGAGTTAGTGCAAGGAGCTGGAAGTGAACATATTCAACATATAAAGATTTAATACTACTATTTCTTACAAAAACCAGGCACATGTGCCTCATTTTTCTACACTGTATTGCTCCAAAACACATTTATTTCTTCATTCATTCATTCATTTATTCATCCATCCATCCATCCATCATCCACCCACCCACCCACTCATTCGTTTTTTTTTTTTTTTTTTTTTTTTGGTG